GGAGAAACGCAGGTTTACTGGTCACAAGGATTAGGGAATAGTGATTATTTTAATTCCTGATGGAGGCGCGGTAAAATCTTTCTATTTTGAATGCGGTACTTCTCGAGTTTCGTGGCTGGTCCGGCGGCGTCCCAAAGGGAGGACCAAAACCGAGTGATGCTGAACCTCGGCCATTTCAAGACATCGAAGCTCGTCATCGTTCGTTCAATGTTCGAAGACCATATGCCGCCTTTCATTAGCTCCGATTTCGTCTTGACGATGTCGTCCGTCAAACTCGTCCTTGTGGGACGACGACAGGAGCGCGACGGAATCCGATACATTCGTCTTCGTTGTGCTGAATCTGTGCATTCTGCTGTCTGACCGAGAACCGAGGCGCTTGGCGTTTGCCAAGTCGCCTTAGGGTGAATAACAGGGCTGTGGCCGGCGCACGCCCCAAGTTCCAACTATTCCAACGATGGCAATGCCGACCCAAGCATGTCTTGGTGCGTGCCACCTCCCAACTTGGCCACATGCACCGCGGCCACCGAGTTGTGGAGTGCAGCTCACAGAGATGACGAATAGCGTAAAAATGAGAAATAATCGCACACTCACGTCATACAGATCCCCTCAGGAGAAATTCCCATGTAAAGACTCAGGAATATCCAGAGGTTGGAAACGACAGAGAACTTTAGAAGGCTTAAGATGAATGGCTGAAAAAAGAAGAATGCCAAACTTCATTCTACAGTCAGCATTTCAACCGAAGGAAACTGACAATCCATCGAACAACAATGTTTGTCAACTGTTGAAAACTTCTTTTGGACAAGCCTATCGGTTATACTACTTAACCATTACAGGAGAATTTTGTCTGATGATGGCCAATGACGTCTGACCGAAACATTAATTGCTAAATAGACTGCTACATCGACCTTTTGGTTGTACCTATAACCACCGAGCACCTACCACTTATAATAAAAGACAAAGCAAAATTTAACACATTATCAAACCATTCAAAGATCGCTTCAGAAGGAGGGGAAAAGAAGGCATAAGCAGAAGCAAAAAAAACAAAAGCTGCAAAAAATGTGCAAGAAACAATAGAGAAGAAGGAAACGGAGAAGAGAAGAATGAAAAGAAGAAAAATATTCAACAAATACGGAAAAAAAGCATCGACTGTTTTCTGATCTATTTTTCACGGTAACAATTGAAAAAAAAACGATATAAAATAATTTATTTAAAATATATCGATACCGGATTGAAACGGCAAAACCGTACAACGCAAAGAAAGTAAAATTCACTGGTTAGTTTACACCGATGCTACGGAGGTGTAAGACAGAAGAACTACTACTGCACTAGGATGAAAATACTTCATTATTCTTTAGTAAACAGGATTTTACACAGCGATTTTCAACTGCTGCTTTGAAGGAAAAATCACGGTTCGCCTGAGAGACATTACTTGCTCTGGACACAAATGACCTGTTCACAGCGCCATCACAGATATGTGATATCACGCGATGACGCATGGCAAATGACCATAGCTAAAGTTCTGTGCAATCAGCCGTTGAGACGGAAGTTAGGGAAAAGGCACCAGAATACCTGCATCTTGGGAGCAGATTGCGGGTGTAGACAGACGGACAGCAGACGAAAGAGGCACTGTGCGTTTGAATTAGCGGCGACCGAAAAGCTACTGAAGCTCTGGGAAAATAAAGATGTTGGCAATAAGAGCAAGCTGTGGATGCACAGGGTTTGTGTTCTGAACATCTTTACCTATGGTGGCACCTAACAAGGTTGAAGACAGAAAACTGGGAGTTGCGGAAATGAAGATTTTAAGATCCACATTAAGAGTGAGGTGGTTACAATGCTGTTGTAAGCGTGAGTTTAGAATATCCAATTAAAATGAAACAACAACGATGTTTTGGGAAAGATTCAAAGAGTCGGAGCTTTCGATAACTCCGTTGCATAAATGACATTGATAATAATGATATGGGATCGAAACGGCAAAATGTACAGTGCGAAGAAAAAAATGTATTTCCTACTTTACACCGAGGTTATCTAATGCGTAAAGAACGCGGATTACGTTGAGCTTAACGAAAATACTCACATTGAAAATAATAATCATTAGCATTACCATAAAATAAAATTAACAATAACGTTAACAATGAATTTCGCCCATGTCATGTTTCTGTCAAATCAACGCTGTTATATAACACGAGACAGCTGTGTGCAGGAATGTTGGCTTCGACACACACTGATGGTTAAATGGCAGGGCCACTCAAAGAATGATTCTATTCTCTTCGAGGAGCAGGTGACCTCGGTAGACGTGACGATTAAGAAAAAGAGGTCGCCCGGTTAAACAAACCGATTGAGCATAAACCAACCATATTACCTGAACCTTCGAACTTTTTGCATTTTCTTCAACAAAGTAGCAACCGTTTTGTTACGGAGAAAATGTTGTAAAGCTGCGAATACAGCGGATATCACAAACCTGAGGCGTTGTGTTCATGCAAACTGCTAAAGGTGATGATCACGACTAACACACAGTAGAGAATGCGAGGGGAGAAACGAATACGCCGTTTGATAGTGCGCTTTACCGCTGCAATTTACCTTGTGTCATCTGACAGCTATCCGAAAGGTAGCACAATGTGCAACCGGTAAAATAAGTAAAAAGTCCAACATTATTTCTAATTAATGTCAAGCTACATTAACCTGCGATATTTATACCGCTGTTGCATGTTTTCTCTGCATGGCACGGAACGGATGAGCAGAAATCACACGCTGTTTAATGCAGCGGTAAACGCCTGTTCGATTGCTACTGAGGCAGAATTTTGCTCAAGGCAATGA